CTGTCATGAAGTTAAGGTCACTCCATCTCTGCCTGATGAGTACGACCGACATCAAAACGTTTTCATGGGAGAATTTCACGCTCTCACAGCCAGAGTGTGTAATGATGGAGGCCCTGCCAGCACATAAAGAAAATGCCTTCATTGTGATTCATTTTATTGCTCCTCTTTCCTGCTGCACATGTTTGGTCAGAAATCTCATCATCATTTCATCTTCACACAATAGTAAAGACTACAAATGGCTCGCATGTTGGATCCTCAGACTACTGGTTAATAGTTCCTGAGCACTCTGGAGAAGGTTCTTGTTCAGGATATCCCTGTGCGTGGTCACATTCATCATTTCCTCGACTGCATCCAGTCATCCTGTCCCTCTAGCGGAACAACACCCCCACAGCATGATGCTGCCACCGCCATGCTTCACTGCGGGGGCTGTATTGGACAAGTGATGAGCAGTGCCTTGTTTTCTCCACTCATACCGCTTAGAATTAAGGCCAAGAAGTTTTTATCCTGGTCTTATCAGACCAGAGAATCTTATTTCTCACCATCTTCGGGTCCTTCAGTTGTCTTTTAGCAAACTCCATTTGCGCTGAAGAGAGTCTTCCGACGGGCCCCTCTGCCTTTAAGCCCTGACTGGTTGAGGGCTGCAGTGACAGTTGACTTTCTACAACGTTCATCTATCTCCTGATGGCATCTCTGAAGCTCAGACACAGTCTTTTTTACCTCTCTCACCAAGGCTCTTCTACCCCAGTAGCTCAGATTGGACTGGACGACGTGCTCTAGGAAGGTTTCTGGTTGTCCCAAATGTGTCCCATTTAAGGATTATGTCGGCCACTGTGCTGCTCTTAGGAACCTTAAATCCAGCAGACTTTTTTGTAACCATGACCAGATCTGTGCCTTGCCACAACTCTGTCGCTGAGCTCTTCAGGCAGTTCCTTTGACCTCATGATTCTCATTTGCTCTGACATGCATTGTGAGCTGTAAGGTCTGTTATAGACAAGTGTGTGGCTTTGCTAATCAAGTCCAATGAGTAAAATTAAACACAGCCGGACTCCAATGAAGGTGTAGGACCACCTCAAGGACGACCAGAAGAAATGGAAAGCACCTGAGTTAAATACAGTATGAGTGTCACAGCAAAGGGTCGTGTGATATTCCAGTTTCTTTGTTTAATAAATCTGCAAAAATGTCTAGAATTCTGTGTTTTTCTTTCAATATAGGGTGCTGTGTGTACATTAATGGGGAAAAAATAAATTGAACTGATTTTTGCAAATGGCGGCAACGTAAGAGTGAAAAACTGACGGGGGTCTGAATATTTTCTGTACTCGCTGTATTTATCAGTGTTTATGGCACTTCTACTAATTATAGATGAGAGAACATGTATCTGAAATAGGAATGGGCGATATATCGATATTTATAAAATATCAATATAATTTTCAAACAAGAACAACTTGACTCCGTGTTATTTTTGCATTTGGCTTTGTGGTTTTTATTATTTAGGGACGTTTGTTCGTGTTTCAGCTAGTCTTTTCATAGTGGCTGCTGATAAAGATTTGTTTATCCTGCTTGTGTAGAGGTCAAACCCCTCCCCGTGTAATCAGGAAACAGAGATGGAGAGCTGCTGATCTGCTGATTGTTTTGCTGATGAATTTATGTATACAATATATATTTATAGATATATATTGTCTATTGGAATTCAGCTAAAAGATATCGAGATACAAGTTTTGGTCCATAGATCGCCACGCCCTGATCTGAAAACCGTTTGCAAGACTTACAGTTTCAGCCTTTTAATCTGTTGAGGCTGATACAAAATCATAATTAAAACATTTGATTTCTAGTAGGTTGTCATTATCCCACAACAAGAGGCTTTTGTTCTGGAGCCAATATTCTTAAGAACCTTAATGATCTTTTGTAAATGTATAAAACAATACAGTGGTTCACATTTGCTCTTGATTTTTAAGAATCCCAAAGAAGAGCTTAAATGATTTAGATCTATAGAGCGTTTCTTCTGCTTGACTGCGCTATCAGACAAAGCTTATGAAAATTTACTGTGTAGTTTTAAAACGGCAAGTGAACGTCAGCCAGAATCAGGATGCACCTGAACTTCCATGGGTGTACACCTGTAACACGACGCAGTTCACGGGCAAATAAAACATAACACATTCACAAGAAATACCAATTTCAAGACATCAAGATTTGAAAAATAAAAAATTACTACTTTATTACAACATTTTTCCATCAAACTATTAAAACTGTGCCTACAGTGTGGAGATGTGTTTGACCAATGGCTTTGGTTGAGGTGAAGTAAGAATATAGTGAGACTTTTACAGTGAGAACATTTTGGAAGGAAGATTGTACTGAAACATATTTCATATCCAGCTGAATGTGGGATTGTCAGTTTTTCTCCTTTCAAAACAAGGAGGGACTTAACTACTGTTTACCATCAGTGAGGGTGGGGGTGCCGTGTCTCCTGCGAGCCAACATTTGACGACAACGGCCAGCAAAAAGCTCCAGAGTTGTTTAAAGTTGTTGCAGTAACAACATTTTCCTACAGGGTTACTTCATTTCTACATAATGCATCTTCAAATATTATGTTTTAAATGCTTATATAATTTAATAATTAAATGGTAAAATGGTAAATGGTAAATGGCCTGTATTTGATATAGCGCCTTCTAGAGGCCTGGAACCCCCCAAGGTACTTTACAACACAACCAGTCATTCACCCATTCACACACACATTCACTCACTGGTGGGGATGAGCTACAATGTAGCCACAGCTGCCCTGGGGCGCACTGACAGAGGCGAGGCTGCCGAGTACAGGCGCCACCGGTCCCTCCGACGACCACCAGCAGGCAACGTGGGTTAAGTGTCTTGCCCAAGGACACAACGACGGCGACAGACTGAGCGGGGCTCGAACCTGCAACCTTCTGATTACGGGGCGGGCCACCGTCGCAGATACTGCTACAAGGATGTCACTGATTGTGAAAAAAACACACATTTGGCCTACACGTACCCCATCCGGGCTTTAATGTAGAGTGGATCCAGCCTTTTTTCCACGTGCTGAGGAGTGTGTTTATGGGAATTTTGATAAATTTTCCATAAATACCAGGATAATATTGATTTAATAACCACGTTTGAACTGTAGAGAAGGAAAATTGACATGTTTCATGAAAATAAATAAATAAATAAATAAATAAAAATAAAGCAGACTGTTTTAATGTTAGGTGATTTTAGAGCTGGAGATGCTACCAAAATAAATAAAAATTCCAGATTCATAGCAGTTTTCCACAGATGTCATTTACATTAGCGTTTGATCAGATTGTGTTTATTCTATGAATTTAGACTTTTGGACTTTGTAAAACTTTCAAAGAGATGTGAACTCACATCAGACTGACTTCTTAAGAGATTCCCCAATTCAATAACACAAACATCTGTCCAAACATGTGACATATGCTACCAAAACAGAGCATCTCTTTCGTTGAATTCATTATTTCCTGATCTGTGTCCTTTTATTGCTAAAGCCTGACGCGTTGCACATGTTGTATGAACTCCTGATGACAAACAGAAAAGAAATCAATAAAAGCTTTAGTTCAGTGGTGACATCACCCTAAACCCATGAATCACAAGAGCTGCTCTCCTTTTTTCCTCATGTTTGACTCAAATGAACCACAGCAAGCTTTCCCAAAGCTGTGGTGGAGCACCACTCACTGATGACACGAACTATTGTCACAAAGCCTATCGTGCTATTCACACCCGGGTGCAGACACTGCTATCTTTTAATTACAGTGTACGAGGGACAGACAGCGACTTATTACCACAGGCCCTTACACAACACCAAATGGCTCTTCAGCAAGGGCTCTCTGTGGATACTTATCCTCCTTTATCAACCAAAGAGGCTTTTTATATCACTTTGCTCCACTTAGACGCTCCAGTCCAAAAGCACAATGATGACATTCATATCATTGGGGTTGTGGCTGAGAAAGACAAAAATGTAGTGACTTAAATTTAAATCTTCCTCATTTTACAAACTAAAAATACCCCATTTCCAGTTTGAACGTGTTAAAATAAATACCCGGAAATCACACGGTCATTTTCTGCTCTTTGCCAACAGTGGCATTAAAAATCACAGAGCAGAAGCACAAAAGGAGAAACTTGTGGGGTTTTTTTTTGCATAACTTTTGCACGGTTATTTCTTTTTCCCCCTCTCAAGTGTCACTCACCTTCAGGCAAGCCGAATCGTGAGCGTGCAGTCTAAGAGTTGGTAGTTAGGACAAAATGTTAGAGATTAGAAAGGAGAGTGGGGGGGGGAGGGGGGGGGGTGAGAAAAGTGTTGACTTTTTCTTTTCCAGATATTGAAACTGATTTTAGTTTCCATCCAAGAAGCACAAAAACTAACTTGATCGTTTTAAGATCACCCGTTTGTAGCGCCAGCAGCAGTTTCACAATGAACACGCACACTTCTAACCCTATTTGATAATCAAAACCATCACACCCAGACGACTTAACTTTGCAATAATCTCAGATGTGTGGTGCGTGTTCTGACAGCCACAGATATGCAGCAGTGAAACACAAAAAAGGCCCAGTTTTTCACAGAATGGGCAGCAAAGTACTTTTCCTGGCTGTCAGCGTGAGGTCATCATTCATAATAACTGAAACCTGCCAGACAACACTTAATGAAGCCAGAGAGAACCCCAACTCAACGGGGCAAGGTTTCAACCAAATACAAGATGTGAAATAATGACAGAAAAAAATCTGCCTGTTTAAATTAAAGTGAAGTTATGAATATGTGTCTTGTGACGGTTTCCAATGTGAATTGTTTCCTGAAAATAAAACTGGAATTTGCTGGGGGGACGGCTCTCTGTTGCCATCAAGTGGCACGAAGTGGCACTACACCACTAAAAAGTTTTTATGATTTGAATCAGGAGACGTTCCAGTATGTAATAATAGGACTCACTGTGCTATAACTGTTTAACAATGTGAAGGTAACGACCAAAAAGAGCAGCATTAAGTAATTCCAAATAAATTTATTGATAAGTTTATCCACTGTACAAAGAAAGAATGGAAACAGCTGGACACCAACATGCCTGAGCTGGGGACAGTCGATTTTCTTCAAAGCAACAGAACAAATGACCTAGAGAGGAGAGGAGAGGAAACGCATTAGACAACACTCTGGATGTATTTCAGAAGGATGTGACGCTGCAGCAGCAGCAGGATCGCACCAAAGGGTTACTCCAGAGCCTTGACGATGGCCTCGTTGGCCTCTATGCTGATCTGAACTTCTGCCCTCACTGCCTCGTCGGCTGTACCGACCAACTCAGACTGGGCCTTCTCCAGGTTGGCCCTGGCTGCCTAAAGGTGGACAAAAAAATAAAACAAGCAACAGAAGTTAAAAAAAACAACAACTCCCAACTAAGCAGATAACCACCTGACACGATGACACATCTGTACATCAGCCTTATTGATTCCACCGATCCTAGCGCAGCTGCAGATCAATCATTTCATTTATTTTAATCCTGTTCCACAAAGTTCTCGTTTCTGTGTTGCGGTGAGACTTTCCACAGAATTTTATTTTCATTTGATTGATAAAAGAATAAAGCTTTGCCTTTAGGTATTTTTCAGGAGCAGACCAAGCAACCATAACTCCCAGTGATGCACAGATTCTGGGTTTGAGGGCTGATATTCCTTCACCATCCCTCTGCAGCTCCAAACTGATAATTACTGTCCAATTCAGTTTTTTCATCAAAATATATTGTAACAAATAGTGATAATGGTGAAAATTAAGCTTTAGATGTTAGTGGCTGTGAGTTCACACACTGGGGGGAAAAAATACTGGGATGGTTTTATGCTCCTCAGAAATGGTGCGTTCACTGACTGTGGGGAAAAAAATTATTTAGCTGATGATCAATTAAACCAATCATTACCAGACGATTTCCTGGTCCATCTGTATCAATAGCTGCTGTCCCCACACGATCACAGAGCAGCACGTAGTGACTAAACCAGAATGATCCGTTTGGAACTGAGGCCTATTTGATGTCCCCCTTGTGACATGATTATTTCAAATGATTGTAATTTACACCAGTTTAGTGCTGTAAAAAGCTAAATGAATGCTTAGTATGTTAACATAGAAGAAAATGTTTTGGTTTTATTATAAGTAGGGATGTAAGAAAATATCGATAGGGCAATATATCGTGATATTTTTCCCCCAGCAATATTATATCGATATTCAAAAGCCGTGTATCGGAAATATCGATATGGCAATATATCGTGATATTTTCCCCAGCAATATTATATCGATATCCAAAAGCTGTGTATCGGAAATATCGATATGGCAATATATCGTGATATTTTCCCCAGCAATATTATATCGATATTCAAAAGCTGTGTATCGGAAATATCGATATGGCAATATATCGTGATATTTTTTCCTGCGATTATTACATCGATATTCAAAAGCCGTGTATCTGATTCCTGAAAGAATTTACATGCAAACTTTTGTGTATTTTCTTTTCGTTTTGCGCAATTCAATCGCCACCCGCTAGTTGGCAGCAGTGTGCAGCGGGTTTTGTTTCCACCACTGAAATGTAAATCCCTCCATCATGGTTCAGATACCTCATGTTAAACATGTTACGTATCAGTTTGGACCATTTATTGAACATTCTTACAATAAATTCAGTAAAAAAAATTGCTTGTAACGTCTGACTGAATGTATCGCAATATATCGTGATCGTATCGTATCGCCAGAATTTCAAAAATACACATCCCTAATTATAAGTATATCAGTAAGACTCTAAAGTCAAAAAGCTCAGAGGCTGACAGCTGAAACAGCCCGTGTGAGCAGACGTGAGGATGGAGATCAGCTAAGAAAATCCCCACCGTCTCTTTGCTCAGAAAGCTCTATTTGTCACAGTCGCCATTAGAAACCAGAAATGCCAAACATTGCTGGAAGTTAAAGGTCTCTCAGTGGGGATTTGGCACATCTGCTGTAACTCAACAGTGACTGACCTTTCCCTCCTTATTAACGGCGTGGGCCTGTGTGCATCGTTACTACAGAGAGGAGGAAAATCAGGACAAAACAAGGCAGCTAACTTGTTTTCTGCTGCAGCGTCGGCTTCACAGAAATGGTGGCCATGCCCGAGGACAGATCCCTCTAAGGCGAGGGCATTAAGAAAAGCAGCCGGTAATTAACACGGCCGACATTTAAAGGATGAATTGCCGCTGAAGTTCAGCTGCAAATGGGTCAGTGGATAATCAGCAGCAGGGTGAAGCTAATCAGACCGGCCGGTCATAACCAGAGAGGGTTCAGAGGAGTTCTGCTCTCGTAGAGGAGGGGGTGGATGATGCAGAAATCAACAACATGAATGACATCACACAAGTCTCATTAAATTGTTTAACCTACATGCATTAGCTCTGCCAGATGTTTACAGGTTGTTCCAATTATCTCTCACACTCAATAATGAGACGTTTGTTCAAATTTGTGATGATCTGAACCACGTGCACCTGTTCAGCTCATTCATCTAAATGGTAGTAGACATTTAGTTACACAAAAACATATGTTAATACAATACACAACTCTGCTTTCCTTCATCTTTCTGTAATCAAATAGTGACAGTTAAGCTGTTTAAGTCTAGTGGTGCTCGCTGCAGAACCACAAAGGCGGAGCTGCACCAGAAGGCGGGGCTGTACCAGAATTAGCCCCGCCCATTCCAGTCAGCCTATTTCCTTCCAGTTGTCAGACTTAATAGTATTCTGGAACCAGAGGGTGTTATAGCTAATATCATCTAAAATGCAGGATTGAGGACTGAGTTGAGAGGTTAACTGAACCGTTTTTGTAAAGGTTCCATATAATTAAAAATCTAACTTTTGGAACTTTTTATCGTGTTATATTATCATTTCCTCATAAGAAACACGCCAAAGCCATTTTTTGCCTCATTCACACATTTTCCTCCCATCTCAGCTTCAATTTGGTCCTCTCCTCCGAAGCGGGTCGGGTCTTGGTTCTCAAATCTGGATATTCTGTGAATTTTCTGACAAATTATTTCTGAAATGACTTCTACTGAGACACCGCCAATAAACCATACATCCCATCTCCAAAAACACACTGGACGGCACAATTAGATGTGACGCCACTTGCTTGTTATCAGATGTAGTGGTGAAGTGGTTGTGGAGTCAGATTTGCGCAGGTTCGCCTCCCGGTAGCGGCGCAAACTTTTTTCTTCTTTTCTAGCTACACTTGCCAGTAGTATGTTTTTAACCATTTATTGGTATACCGTTTACAATATAATGACTAATGTGTTTGTTTTTCTATTTATTCGTTTATTTAGCCAGTGTGAGTCCATTTGTGAGCAGAGCTCCAACTAAAATGCTGTTTAGGAACGACCAAATTCAAAGAACTTTTAGAGACACAAATATTTTGCAGAAAATAAACATTACAACTAAAATATAAACAAATTAAATGTTTCAGCTGGATAAATAGATAGCTGCCGACCCCACCGAGAGTCGAACCAACATCAGCTGAGGGGAAAGCAAAACTTAAAACTGACACTTTTGCCACTGGACTACCAGAACACACTAAAAATTGTCCTTAAATGCTGTTTTACCCCAGTGCTGTTGCAGCGGCTATGGACAGGTATTTGCTAAAAGAAACCTTTTCATTTCGGGATATATTCAGGCTTTGTCATGTAGCAAGTTATATTTTTCTTGCTTAATTGGAGCAAAGAACATAGCATTAACCCCTAGAAACCCAAATTTAGAAAACAACTGCAAAATCTTTAACCTTTCACATGTTGTTCTAGGAGGCCAGATAAACGGGCCTATTTACACATTTTAACAGCCAATAGTGTTGCAGAACTGAACAATAGGACCTATTAGCAATGTAAATGTGGTTTTAAAAAGAAAAAAAATGGGGAAGGTTTATTTTTGAAGACTTAAATCTGATGTTGTAATATTACAACCGTGGGTCTCTTGGGGCTAACAGTTGTAAACTAGTAACAGCCGTAATTCATGTGGGTCAGGTGAGTTTGCGATAAAAAAATAAAAAAATAAAAAAACAGAAGAAGTCAGTGTGGGCTAGGCTGTTTGCGTGAATGGGCGGGGCCGTCTCTGGTGCAGCTCCGCCTCTGTGGTTCTGCAGCGAGCACACTCTTGTTTAAGTGGGTTTGCTGTGGGATTACAAAGAGCTAACGTCTTACCTGCTGCAGATAGCTCAATGAACAACTTCAGTTCAGGACTAAAAAAACTAGTTCTGAGCAGGCTGACGAACTAACAGCTAGACACTAGTGATGTTGTGCTCGAGCAGGTGGCTCGACTCCTGTATCGATCTTCCAAATCGGAAGTGTCAGCAAAGTGCGTGTCGATGCCGTGCTTCGTTGTAGGTAAGACCACGTGATTTTTCCAAATGAAGCTTTATGATGTCACATGCTTCGTGTCAGCTTTGAATTCAGGGTGAGGAGGTTAATATGGTTGGCGGCAGGAATGCTTCTTTAAAGCATCTTAACAACAGACATTAATGATGGAGCAAGTCCAGTCTCGGTCGAGAGTGCGGCGCACACAGGGGTTCTGAGGCAAATCCCCAGAGCGCGCAGGTAAGTATGGCGACGGTGGGGGCGTCTGCAATAGTCCTCCCCATGATTAATATGATGCATGGGATCACAGAGGTCATCTTCTCGGACCCATCCCTGTTCACAACTCCTGAGTCTGCTGCTGCTGTACAGCATATTTTTGCTGGGACAGCCACTTTGTAACACAACTACATTCAAGTTTTAAAAGACAGAAACTGACAGATTTCGTTTCCACACACAACGGACTTTTGTGTGCCATGCTGCTGCTATGCTGCAGTCTGGCCAGCAGATGTCACTCATTCTGTTGGGTTCAGATGGTAACCACTTAAAAGCGTTTGCTTCATGTTGGTTCAGTGGTTTGGAAAGCTTTGGTTTCTCCATCTCTAGTAGGCAGTTACAACGTAGATTTATGCCATTATAACTAAAACCTCCCACTTCAAAAATGCAACAGTGGGTTGTTTCAGCATTATCTCAGAAATTTAGAATAAAATATAGGATTATTTATACACTTCATCCATATGAAGATGGTGCGTTTGCAGTTTTGGCTCCAACGCTCTGGAATGTGCTGCCTTTACTGTTGGGGGGGTGCCTTCTCTCCTGGTTTAAAGTCCCAACCGAGCACCAATTATTATGTTCAGGCCTTACAGCATTGAGGATCTCAACACGGCCATGATTTTAATTGCTCTTATGCCCTTTTACTGGTTTTAAAACTTTAAATTTTTTTATTGTTAGCGATTGGTTGTCTTCAGCACCGTAGGCTTCTGCTAAGGATGTGGAAGGTGCTTTACAACTAGGGTTGTCACGGTGTGAAAATTTAACCTCACGGTTATTGTAACCAAAATTACCACGGTTTTTGGTATTATCGCGGTATTTTTTTTAACGTGCTACATTTTCACACAATTAAATAAACCCTGTATATCAGGAAAATATTGTCCTCAGTTTGTGTCTAAATTTTGCCTAAAATGTGTTATTTTGTAATTATGTTGTTTATTTGTTTACATTTTTCCCCTTTAGTCTTTAAAATACCAATATTTGCCCATAACTTCTTATTTTATGTCAGTTTGATGTCATCATTTAAAAAATATTAGATCAGATGATACTCAGTACTCAAGTAGCCTTCTAATCAGATACTTTTTTACCCTTACTTGAGTACTAAACCCTATATCAGGAAAATATTGTCCTCGGTTTGTGTCCTTCCAGTGAGCTTTACAGATGTGGGAAAATGTCATCAGGCAGTAATCATTGTTAAATTCATAATTATCCTGGGAGAGAGACCAACTCTTATCTGCCCCTGGGAGCCCCGTAATGCGTAGCGTCATTTCAACATGGGGGTGTCCGCGACGGTTTATATGCAGGTAGCGGCGCTGCGGATGCTTTATATAGCGACTCGTTGCGTTCTCCCTCAACCCAAATCCTCGGATCACGCATTTTAGCTAAAACACTAACGTTAGCTTGCCTTGCGTTGACTGTAGAGTTGTGGGTGATGGTCACGCAGATGTGTCATGAGATTTGAAGCTTTGCTGCCTTTCACAGACACTTTTTCTGCTCGTGCTGCAAACAGGATAGCCGTCTTCTATCAAATGTCCCTCGGCATTCTTCAAATATCTAAAAGATGCCCGTACTTCCAACTTTGTCTTCTTTGAGGGATAATAAATGTCCTCCTGAGCGCTGCCGTCTCCTCCTTTGGTCATTATTTCAGCTTTAGCTTCAAGAAAGTTTTGGTTGTAAACAACAAAGCGCGCATGTGCCGCCGGCAACTTCAGCAGATGATACGGTGGCTGGTAAAGGTCACCGCACCCACCGAGATAATATAGTTTTTTTACAAAACAAGACGGTTATTTTTATTGTCAACTTTTTTACCGGGGTTTACCGCTACACCGGTTACCGTGACAACCCTATTTACAAATAAATGAAATGAAATATTCTTGCCAGAATAATATTATAATCAGAATCTAACTATTAAATCAAGACTGAATTAGCATAAAGCCATTCCTCAGGTTAGAAGTGTTCAAGTACGACAGAAACTCACTTTCTAATTGACCCTAAGGTCTGTTAGTTTGCATGTCGTGTCTCGAACTCCATGTCTCCAAGCTGAAGTTGTCCAAAGAGCTAACTACAATTGAAAAGCATTGCCTATACACAGAAACCCGTTTCAAAAGACCCGAACTAATCGTTCTGAGTTTCCTCCAGGATAGATTATCGAGCAGCTGGATAAAGAAGTGGTCCTTCTACTCACTGTAACGTCCAGCTGATCTAGGGGAACGGCCTCCTCAGCCAGCAGCTGTACTGAAGAATCAGCATTGACTGTTACTGACCCACTGCTCACTGCACAAGAGACAAGACACACACACACACACACACACACACACACACACACAGTAAGTATATAATCTATTTTTTAATATATAATCAGGTTACAATTCTAGCTTACTGCCTATGTGTATCTACATGTACCTTCGTTATTATTTTTCTACAAATTATTCTCTTAAGTGTTGGTGCTGCTGTAACAAGTGAATTTCCTCACAGTGAGATCAATAAAGTCTATTCTATTCTATCACTTTAACTGTCTTTATTAAACATGTGTATTGTGAATCAGAGCTTTATGGGTTCAGATTGTTTAAACGAAGCGAAAAAACAGGTAACGAACCCGTTTCTGTGTTTTAAAAAAGAACGATAGCATGGAATTAGAAACAAGACACAGCAAGAACACACCTAAGATGTTTTAACTTTGTCTTCTATCTTCACTGAGCGACAGACTTTCAGCAGCTAAAGTGGCTGTTTGTCCACACAGATGAATATTTTTTTCAACTGGACATCGTGACACAAACCACATTAAGATCAGTGTCATTAGTGCAGAGTTGAAACATACCAAAGTATTTAGCAGAGGAGCCATCATCATTAAAGACTGTGACAACGCCGGGCCTGAGCACCTGCAGGGTGGGCACGTGGGCAGGAAGGATACCGAACACACCAGTCAGCGTTGGCACATCCACCTGCTTCACACTGGCCTCTCTGAAGAACACCTGAGAGAAAAAAAAAAACATAGAAAATGTGACGGATGGAAACTAACTTTAGCCTCAGTAGAATCACAGCATGAAACTTATAACAGGATTAATTTAAGTATGTTGAGTGGATTTTCTGCTGCGCCAAGCCATTTCTGGTAAGTAAAATGAAAATATTTGCATACTGTCAATAAATAAATAAATAAATAAATAAACTGTACAACTAACATCAGCGTGCATAATTTGAATTCCATCATTATCAGATGATTTAGTTTATTTCTAAAAGGTGAAGAAACACTTTCATGTGCAGGATCCGGCTGAACTCAGCAAATGTGTGACTCTTAATTTGAGGTCATCACATATTTGTCCAGTTTTATAGCAGTTCATGGAGGTTCAGCACAAATGTTGAACCCATACAGTAAAAACTGAAGGCTACAATAACATTTAAAAATACGAACATTAAGTTAAGCACAAACCAGCTGTTTAGACCTACAAATGTGTATTTGTAGAACAATTTCAGGATCACGAGGAGTCTCACACATTTAGCATGAGTTTGAAAAGAAAGCGTTTGTCTTTCCCAAGAGCGTGCATCAAAAGGCTCCACAACATACACAAACCCCAGAAGAGAGCGATACAAACGGTTAGACGTTCAGTTTGACACAATTACTTCAAGGTTAAGGTTCACTACACACTAAACACGCTTTATGGTTTCCTAAATATAAAACAACGTTCGTTAAAATTTAACACAAACGTGTAAGACTTCCACAGAAGTTGTACCTCAATTTTATTTTATTTAGATTTCTCTGCTAAATATTTTGTTGAAAAGTAAATGATTAACAACCAGGTTAGCTAACGAAGCTAACCAAGCAACACATCAAACCCGCAAGTGTCTGGACCGCCATTAAACGCGCAGCAATTATATCTAAACTATCTATTGGTTCTGTTCTGCAACAGAACTTTTACAGAAGTCATTTTAAGGAACGGGCATTAATGGGTTTTGATAATAACACGTAAGTTAGCCGCTAAGTTAAATGGGCCCGAGAAGCCTCGGTAGGAACCACAGTTCTTTACCTGCGTCGGAGAGGCAAAAGTGAAGGACATTTGCGGGGCACCGGAGGCGGCGTCGGCATAAGAGCGAGCCTGCCTCAGCACAGGGAGAGCCCGGCGGAAAAGTCTGGCTGCCAGCATGTCTGAAAGTTTTAATGGGCTCAAGTACTAGTGAAAGACGGACTCCCAAACCCCGGCGTGAACAGGCAGTCGGTGTGCGCTGAGGACAAGGACGTTGTGAGGCTACCCAGCAGGCTTTGCGGCGGCGCTAAGGAAGTTGGGTAGGGTAGTCTTCTAAAATTCAACAGTACTGCAAAGCTTTATCATTTATGATGACGACGTTTATTTGAAAATATCTTTGTCTGATTGGGAAGAAACATCCCAGAGAGCAGGCTCAAACCGTCTCGGGCTAAAAACAAAGCCAAGTGTTGTCTATTAGATAGGCTGGTTTACCTAACCTTTAGAAAAATGCACTGCCAAAAAGAACTATTAAACAAAATGATAAAACCGGATTCATTATGATTTTATTTGAAACAATGAAGTAAATTCCATTCTCTAAATAATAAATAGTTGATTTTGGTGTAATATAAATAAAGTAAATGGTTAGAAAAACATTTAAAATGTATCATTATCGACGTGTATATGTAAGAAAAGCTTGAGGGGAATTAAGTCTGTCTTGAGATGTGCTTTTTTTTATCTTTTGAACCTTGTGGAGAAATCGTTGCTAAATAGACATACATCTTTGTCCACAAGAGGGCACCAAAGTACTTTCGTAGGCAAAACAAACTCGTGAAGCAATCAGTGAATGGAGAAACAGATTGACTTAAACATTTAAAACCTTTAAACTATTTTACAACACATATTATTTACTTCTACTCCCGCAGGCTACTACTAACAAACCAATTAATAGGCCTAACATTACATAAACCAGCCTATTATTAGTAGAGGATAAATTGTAAAATATTAAGAATAAGTGCTAAAACCATCCTGGTGCGCCTGCTGTGTGGAGCAGCTTGTCGGACCGACCACCAGAAACCTTTTTTCATCTCTACCTCGCTCCGTGGGTCACGTGATGTATTTCTGACGGGGTGGTGGGCGTGTCTTAAACGGCGGGGTTTCATTCATAAATCCTTTTAGATTTAAAGACCAACATTAAAGTGTTGAGAGGAGTGTTTAGTGTTGTCGGATTCGCCCCTCCGCTCCTGTGAGGACCAGACTGCTCGGGTAGGTGAGTGCTGCCGTCGCCGCGCGTCCGTCCGGCTGCGCTGTGCGAGCTCCGCTCCCCTCTCTCCCTCTCTTTCTCTCCCTCGTTGCTTCCAGACTGAAGAAAATCAGAGGCGCCTGTTAAAAAAATCATCAGTCTTCATTTCTTTAAAGCACTTTCTTTGTTTTATTATCGACTTTGCGTTCCTCCTATAGATGCTTTTAATTAATAACGTGTTGACAAAAACAGCTGCTTTTTAAATAAATCGATGCCTATTATTTTTATTATTAGGCTACAGGAAAAGGGTGCTTTCTTACCGGAAACACATTTCTTAAATAAACCTAAATAAGCCTAGTTATTTTATTTTCTCTAAACAAACCACAACACTGTGTCTTGCATGCAGGTGTTGAGGTGATTGGTGGTAGAAGGTTTTAAAAAGAAACACGATGTGTGTGATTGCTGGTATAAAATGGTATTTGATGCATGATGGGACCCAGGAAGGCTGGGACGCCCGTGTCTCTCCATCTGCTCTGATAGCAGAGTTATTTTCAGGGTTTAGAAAACAGCTAAAGTGAGCAGTCCTGCTACCCTAACCTGATATTTCTTTATATTTCAGCAGATCTTCCATCATTTTCCATTCTTATTTCTATATTTACCATCTGATCATTACACTTTAATAATAATAGTAAATCAGTTCAAAACATTTTTTTACCCAGTCATAATTGTTCAACCAGAGCTGGTAAATGATCAATATGCAGGCTTTTTTTTAAATAGTACAGTAATAAAATAATCCTTCCTCTCTGTGTGTGTTTCTCCCGTCAGCCATGCAGCGCTTTCCTCCTGTTGATGCGAGACCAGTGGGTCGACCCTGAGGGGAAACGCTGCTGCTCGGGCTCTGTCGGCTGGGTGGGCTGAGGATGCTGCGAGGGAGCTGAGGAGGAGACTCCTGATCCTCACACTCATCCAGAGCTGGTGCTGCTGCTGCACACTGCCTTCCATCAGGGTAAGACCACTGAGCTGGTAGAAAGCAGGATGTGGTGCAGCAGTATGCTGCAAAGAGAAAGCATTCTGGTCACACAGTCTGATGTGTTTTCAGTCACAGGTGTCAGGCTTGTTTGGTAGGATGCTGGAAATGAACGAGGTTGGCAGAGGAAAGCTAGATGGTAGATTAAAGGTTGCTAAAGTTGAGTGCTGCAGTGACGTCAAGGCGAGCGAGGGGCGCTGAATGCTGCTGGCATGTTGCTTCTCCTTTGCTGGGTGAGTAGCTCTATCTGTGTGTGTGTGTGTGTGTGTGTGTGTGTGTGTGTGTGTGGGTGTTTTGATGCAGCAGCAACAGCATTAATGGGTGTAATATAAAAGTATGGCAGCAGCATGGAACCAGCATCTAATCAGAGAATCAGAGCAGCTGTGTTTGTGTGAGGGAGATCATCTCAGTTCGACAGGAGATGGTTCAAAGCAGAGAAGCTGCAGGCTGAATTTTTCTGAACTGTCTTCATGCACAAGCCCCACTACATCAGTCGCCTTAGCTTTTTCTCACAGCTTATCTCATTTCAGAGAGACGTGTCTGTTCTTTTGGCTATTTGCACTCAGAACAACAACTGTAACAAAGTTCCTTTGCTCAGACGTTGAATGGTATATGGCATTTGCTTTCAGGATTGTTCTTATTATTATAAAGACAGAAAAATGCCATGCTAAAATATGTTTGGCCTTGAGGTTAACCTTTCAATCACGAATGTTTTAGTCTTTTTATTTGCTAAACGACAGCTGTAAACAAAACATAATGTATACGTGTTGTATTGATTGGCAGTAACAGTAGTATCCCTGGTTTACTTCACCTGGGAGCAGAAATGTCACAGGTTTCCTCTAATGCTGATTGTAGGAAAAAATCATGTAAATAAAAACTATAAACGTCCTGCAATAACTCGTCTGAAATAAATAAAAACAGATTGATAACAAGCGGCTCTTGCCAGACGTCAGGAACAGTTCGGAACAAATCTACCAATTCTGCAAATCTTAAATGGAAAACATGCAAAAATAGTGGTAAAGATGTAGGTTTTCAGCGTGACGGGGAAGTGTCAGATGTCTGGATTTATACACGGATATGTTTGACTTTACCTGAGTAACAGGCTTTTCCTCTGTGTGTGTGTGTGTGTGTGTGTGTGTGTGTGTGTGTGTGTGTGTGTTTGTGTGTGTGTGTGTGTGTGTGTGTGTGTTTGTGTGTGTGTGTGTGTGTGTGTGTGTGTGTGTGTGTGTGTGTGTGTGTGTGTGTGTGTGTGTGTGTGTGTGTGTGTGTGTGTGTGTGTGTGTGTTATCTCAGGAGGACTATCTAGTTGACTTGGACCATGAGCAATGAGTCTACTGTCTGGAACATCCTACCAGAAAACTCCACAGTAAGTCTGCTTTTCACCACTGGCTTATTCTGAAACTTCTTCTTTGTGTGCATGTATGCATTCTCGTGTGTGTGTGTGTGTGTGTGTGTGTGTGTGTGTGTGTGTGACGAGCTCACCAGAACCATACTTTCCCTCGTATTCTCTTCTGGTCAACTGACAGGCTAATAGAGAGCATCCTGACCTGGACTTGAAATAATTAAATATCCGATCTAATCTCGGCTTTAACTTCGTCTTGCAGAGAAATGATGTTGTGACGTCAGAGCACAGTGCACGTTAACACTTCAAGTGTCCCCTCCCCGGTAGAGCTCCTGATTATAACACAAGATGCGGACATCAGACGCCTGTCGTGTTTGTGTAACCTCTGCTGCTGAGTCATTCATGTGGTTTGGTTTGATGGAGCTGATTCAAAGAAGCTTTTGATGCTACTCAGTGGTCCTAAAATAACTTCTTCAGTGATTTCGCTTTAACGCACTGCCATTTGTTCATATAGACTCACTTCAATATTCCTTCAACAAAGAATTTAGGAATGCTAATCTTTATAAAGGTAATGGGAAATCGTTGTTCCAGGATCTGCAAACTGCAGCTTCCCCCTGTGCTGCTGGAGTGTGGCTAATCCACTCAGCTGCAGTCCTTCCTGTGAGAGCTTTCCCATCGCTAAGGTACACCATAGACAGGTTAATAGCCCTGGTGTTTATTGATTAATTGCACTGTTGTATTTATAGATTTGCTTTATGCAAGCCAACCAACCTGTGGGGCTAAATCAATCTTGTAAGCTGCACGGTGCTGCTAGGAAGGTAAAACAGCTGCAAATCGGCTCCGTTGTTGCGGTGTCAGACAACAACTTTTGCAGACCCCCGGAAAAGTGCACTCTCTTTATAGAGTTGGGTTTTTTTTATGGTGGGCAGCAGTGTTATTTACCTTGGTGTGTCAGCTCAATGAGGCGCAGCATTAATCATCAGTGAGGGGATTCTCAGTGCTTAAGCTTTTTGTTGTCACTCTCATGTCTCATGAAGGAAGGCTGGGGAGATGTTTCAGCTGTTCTAAAAGCTGTTCCAGGGGGGTGCTAAAAGCTGAAACTTCCTACTTCCTCTTCAAGGTGGTGATATGTTTTCTTTATTAAAATGATTTTCAAAGGCTAATAAAACACTTACTCGCCGTCGTTTTATCCTTGGGCAAGACACTTAACCCACCTTGCCTGCTGGTGGTGGTCAGAGGGACCCGTGGCGCCTGTGTACGGCAGACTCACCTCTGTTAGAGCGCCCCAGGGCAGCTGTGGCTACAATGTAGCTCATCACCACCAGGGTGTGAATGTGTGTGTGAATGGGTGAATGACTGATTGTGTTGTAAAGCGCCTTGGGGGGTTACAGGACTCTAGAAGTTGCTATATCAAATGCAGACCAGCTGTAAGCACCTCTCATCAGCTGCCTAGCGCTCTGAAATGATAAATTAACACAAGATGTTCACCAACAACTGTATTGAAGTTAATTGAAGTGCCTGCAAAACTTTCTGGAATTACCTTTTAGATTTTTTCTTGGAGATCATTTTAGTTTGTACAGATTCCAGAGAACTCATTCAAGTTCTCACAGAAAATCAAATTAAAATCCTTGTTTGATGGCGAGTGACCTTCAGGAGGATTTGCTCTTCTTCAGAATTTGCACACAAATATGGTGTACGAGGTCTCCAAAAAGCTTCCATATGGAAGCAGATTTCACACAAAGGTGGAGCTAAATGAAATGTATTTGACTCAAATCAGAGATGGCGTGCTCGTAGAAACAAAAAGCTGTAGAAGTTTGTTAAAAATGCCGCCTCTTCAACCTCTAAGCACCAGGGGTGAGTCGTGTGAGCTTGTGCTGCAGCCACTCTGTGCTCAGCAACTCTGATCATAAACACCACACAGGAAATAAGCTGAAGATGTGAGGAGGACAGCTTCTTCAGAGAAGAATTGTGGGCCGGATTACATCTCAGATCAAAATTGGTTTATTTCAGGCACTGCAAGTGAAAGAGTTTGCCAGGGCCCCAAAGAGTCCGCCATCTTAAAGAGCAAGTCACCCCCAAATAAACTTTTTTTTGCTGATAAACTAAATAAACGAGTGTCTAATTGTGCTGCAGACACGTGTCGTCAATAATTTGGCACTTCAGGCATCTTAGTTAAAATTTAAATATTCTGCCTAAAACTGGCAGTGTTGTGCCGTTGTCAGGTAAAAACTCTGCACTGTATTTTAATTTAAATCTGCCACCGCTATTGGCTAGGAGGTATGCTATGATGTAAACTGGTACATTATGATGTCACAATGCTGTCATGAGCCTGTGTGTGTGTGTGTATTTGTTAGCAGCTCCGCCTTCTCGGTCTGCCAGGCAACAGCATGTGTTGCATTTTTCAAACATGAAGTGGGAGTGGAGTTAGACTCTGGTAGGGGGTGACTTGCTCTTTAAAGAGCAAGTCACCCCTTACAAGAAGCGTACTTCACTCCTACTTCTTGTTTGAAAAATGCAACAAATGCTGTTGCCTAGCAGACCGAGAGGGTGGAGCCACTAACAAATACACACACTCACGACATTGTGACATCATAATGTACCAGTTTACATCATAGCATACCTCTTAGCCAATGGCGGTGGCAGATTTAAATTCAAATGCAGTGCAGAGTTTTTACCTGACAACGGCACAACACTGACAGTTTTAGGCAGAAAATTTAAAATTTAACTAAAATGCACTAAAGTGCTAAACTATTGACTACACGTGTCTGCAGCACAATTAGACACGCATTTATGTAGTTTATCAGAGAAAAATAGTTGATTTGGGGGTGACTTGCTCTTTAAGCATGTTCAACAATCTGTAGACAGAGACCCTGACAATCAGCGCATAGAAAATGTTCCAAAAATCGAACCGAGCAAGAAGGTTTTTGCAATAAGTCTGAGGAAAATAAATAAATAAATCATGAAAGGAAAACTCTTAGCTGGCAGTAGAAAGTATGCACAAGCTGTTACATTTGTCCAAGGGAATCATTCCAGGAAGTTTCTGAATTCTGTTTCAGATACTTTTCTTTTGTTAATGTGAGATTATATAAATAAGAGAAATAACTCAGGTTTGCTAAAGAAAAAAATATGAAACTAAACTTTTTGAATGTTTTCTCTCAGGAGATCCCGCTCGAGGTCGAGGAGCAGAAGGATGGCTACGTGCTCCTGCTGGTGATCCTGTCTGTCTTTCTGGTAGGATCACTGGTCTTCATCTCCGTCTTCCTCATCGCGTCTCGCCGCTGCTGTCGTGGAGGGCAGTTCTGTCCCAGGTGGGGTACAAAAAACAATGTCCTAGATTTAGCTGCTTTTTCTTTCTTATTTCTTCACTCGTTCTTTAAAGCAACTCTTGTCTGGCGCTATATTAGATTTGAAAAGATATGCGACCAACAGTCAGCGCTGATAAAAGGAGAGAGTGCAATAAAAGCGGCAGCTCTATAATCTAATAACAAGAGCACCGTGATGACTGATAACCTTATAAAGTCTGTGGTGCTCACTTTTTTTCTTGCTGACCCAATTTTTGATTGAACTTCACAGATTTTGAGCTTGTATTGATTTTCATTATGATTGTTAGTGTTCTGCACTTCTCCATCCCTAAAATAAAACATCTCTAGAAAAACTTCATCCAGCTGTGCTCCTACCATGCAGATCAGACTGGGGACTCACACGCACAGGTGTACTCATGGTTTGTTGACACCGATGCAACTAGAGGGAAAACTACGGAACTTTTGCAGCTTTGGAGCATTTCTGTTTAAAGCAGAGCAGTCTGCAATTGTCCCAGGATTAAGAATAATGAATAACATGTTCTAAAAATTATTAATAAAAAAATGACACTGGATTCCCAGAATAGTTCCAAATAAACAAACCATTTTAAACCAGCCATTTAGTTTTTTACATGACTGAACAAAACAACCAGACAGTAACCGTGTGGGTTTCTAGTTTTTATTTTTGACATGCTGGTCAATAATTATCTTTCTAATCCTAACCCTAACCATCTGTCCTTAGCTTTGTCCATGTCTAGTGGTGCACAATCAATCAATCAATCAATCAATCAATCAATCATTGATTTTTCCTAGCGGTGCCATCATTTTTCACTAGATCAGCTTTATTAGTTTGTTTTTAAATGATTCTGTTGAACCACACATTTGTTTTTGCTCCCATTTTTCATGAGCTGAACTCAAACATCTGAAACTTTTTCTACATGCACACCCATGACTCTCAAATAGTGTTCTGAAATCTGTCTACATATGTATCGAGCACTTGTCCTCCATCCATCCATTTTCTGAACCCGCTTGTCCATGTGGGGTCGCGCATGCGCGCGGGGGGGGGGGGGGGGGGGGGGGGGGTGCTTATCTCCAGCAGTCATAGGGCAATCAGGGGGGGTACACCCTGGACAGAGAGCCAGTCCATCACAGGGCAACCAAGCCCGCACAATGCGGCTCAAAAATTGAAGCCAACCCGGAAGTACCAAAAATTGCAGTTCCACCCTCATCCACTGGGGGATGGTGTCAGAAGCGAGCAAATCCTCATTGACTCCCATGTTAAAAATACCAATTTCACAGCAGAAATAAACATGTTTACAGTCTGGTACCAAAACATGTTTTTGTTTTAAATGATCTAGTTTACACTCATGACAACCCTGAGGGGGTGAATTTTTTTCTCACTCTTCTGTTTAAGTGTATTAAAAGCCTAAAATTCTGTATAATTAATGAGCATCAGACCCACGTGACCACAGAGCTAGCTCCGTGGAAAGGCCTCAGTAGAGCCTCGGTCTGGCTTGGAAACTGCTCCGGGATTTTGAGTCTCTGTTTGTGTATTCTTTTTTGGATATTTTTTGTGCAATTGTTGGACAAAATGACTTGCTGTGGCGTTAATTGCACTAATAGAGCATCCAAGGAGTCTCCACTTCATTTTTTTTGGTAAGTAAAATTATATTTATGTATTTTAGGTCACTGCCGAGCTGAGCTTAGATTTTAACATGTACTGTTTAACCATGAAATTTAAATGTAATAGGGTAAAACCCAGTGCATTTAACATAATGCTGCACTTTAGAAAATGGGTTGAAATATAACATGTTGATGGAGCTGGGTTCCGACTATCGGCTTGTGGAGGTCTCGGGAGACCTCTGTTTTCCACCCGTTTCTCCCCTCCCCGCAGTTCTGCGCATCTCTGTCTGATCGCGGCTTCTGTCTGCTGCGCGGGCTGCCGGCTTTCAGCAGCTTTCGGGAGACCTCTGTGTTCCACCCGGTTTTACCCAGCGGTCAGCCCAGCGTATCTCTGACTCAGAAGCTCTGGTGTTGTGCACAGTTAACTCAGGTTGTAGCTAGGTTGCTACCTCCATTAGCTTGGCTCCCACCTCCGCGTTAGCTTTGGGTTAGCTTCAGGTTAGCTTGTAGCTAGTTCGACCGGGTGTCATCAGTTGATCCCAGCCTTACAGCCCCACCCTCAGCTCCACCTCTCTTCCCTTTTGTGGAATTGTCTGGGCTTGACGGAACCTGTGACACGGTCAAAATGGCGGTGGTGGCCACCTCCCATTTTGGCACAAAAACGTGTTATTGGAGCCTATGGAAATGAACTGTCCAGTATTTATGTCGATGAGGGCAACACAGAGACACACAGGACAAACAATCACACACACACACACACACACACACACACACACACACACACACACACACACACACACACACACACACACACACACACACACACACACACACACACACACACACCTAAGGACAATTTAGCCAGACCAGTCAACCTAACAGTCATGTTTTTGGACTGTGGGAGGAAGCCGGAGTACCCGGAGAGAACCCACGCATGCACAGGGAGAACATGCAAACTCCATGCAGAAAGATCCCAGGCTGCAAAGCAAACCCATGACCTTCTTGCTGCAAGGCAACAGCTCTAACCACTGTGACACTGCGCAGCTGCACTTTTCCTTTACCAAGATAATCCATTCCACCTCATACGTGTGGCATATTAAAGGGCTGATTAGATAGCATGGATAATATACAGGTGCAGGGTTTTTCCTGGCTCAAATTGAGGCAGAAGTGGTACCATCCTGACCATGCGCCAGCACATGCATACTCTGTGCTTTCAACTGCCTCACTTTTTTAAAGATAAAATATTATAAAAGGCTCAATAATATGCATTAGATTAGTGTTTAGTTCCCTTTTTCCCATCTGATATTTATAGTTAAAAAATTTTTTTTAAATTTTGACCTACATTTCAGTAAAATTTTAGGTTTGAATTAATAACACTCATCTTAGTCAAAACAACACAAATATATCCAGTAAAATATGCATTTCGTCAACATGCATTTGTATTGGAAATGGTAACATTTAATTTCTGCTGCTAACAATGTAAGGTGGCATGTCTATTATGTGCGGGTTGGCAATAATTCAGTTTAAATTATGCTCAAAGACAGAAGCGTTTGAGATTTATATACTACAACGGCTTGCCGTACAGTGATTTATATACTACAACGGCTTGCCGTACATCCTGCTCCTGTGTGAGGGGCAGACTTGTAGCAGTAATGGTTTGTGCTGCAAAAATGTTCGTTTGTTCTACTATCATTTTAAAGATATTCATAAAATTTTCTAGAGGTCATCAGAGGTCAACCAGCCCCCCATCCACATTGATGGAATCAAACAAAACTGGTGTCAATCAACTGTTCTACGTTTGTGCAGCACAAACCAGCACAAACGTAGCACAATGGTTTGATAGTGATACCACTTTTGTTGGATTTGAAGAAGGTGGGGGGGCTGGTTGACCTTTTGACTTTTACATTTTCATTAATATCTTCACAACAGAAGCAGCACAAACGACAATTTTAGCAGCACAAACCAGCACAAACGTAGAACAGTTGATTGACACCATTTTTGTTTGATTCCATCAATTTGGGGGGCTGGTTGACCTCTAATGACCTCCAGAAAATTTTATTAATATCTTTAAAATGATAGCACAAACGAAATTTTTTGCAGCACAAACCAGCACAAACGTAGCACAATGGTTTGATACCACTTTTGTTGGATTTGAAGAAGGTGGGGGGGCCAACTTCACTCAGGTTAATGTGACTCGTATCTGCAGCGGTTCTGACCCGTAGCGCTGCAGGCTGCAGAATAAACAGGATGGTGGGGACTTTTCAAACGCTTGTAGAGTTTAGTCTTTCTTAGTTTTACGATCATCATATATTTTTCTGCGTGCCACTTGATCTTGAGACTGCTACCCGTTAGCTTTTGCATTAGCCAATCTACGTGTAGCTGCACTTTTGATCCCAAACTTTGGACAGGTTCTGCCTTTGTTGGTTCCTGTATTTTCCTCCACTGCATCCAGATGACCACACTGTGCACCAGTAAAAAGCATTTTTCTTACACGTAACTTACTTTTGCTCAATAAAGTTCTGGGAAAAATAGTAATTAAAAGATGTTGCACCAGTGGTATACGTTTAAAAATAGACAAGACACTCACATTTTTTTTCTTCGCACTGTACAGCCCGGCTCTGATATGAAAGAGTCTGGGGGACAATCAGGACGTCAATAGCACCAACCATAGATATGTAACTAGCGAGAAAAGCAATTTTTGATCTTTGTCTGCAGCGGTTTTAGTGCTTTTCGGTGCACCGCTGCTGATACAGCACTCTTGTAGTGGCGCAACGCTGCAACTGCAGTTAAAATAACATCCATATAGCTGGGGGCAGAGTGAAATCAGGCTGGGGCGGCACAAAATTAGCTGGAGACGGCCGCCACGTAAATTTGAATGCAGGAAAAACCCTGCAGGTGTACCTTAGACTGCCCACAATAAAAGGCCACCCTGATATGTGCACAGTTTTGCTATATAGAGGGTGGTGTGGCAGAAAACCAGTCAGTAATAGATGAAGCTCAATGCACTTTCAAATAAAAACTAATTTTATGGTCAAGCAAAAAAAAATCATTAAAAAATTAAAGGTAAAGGTAATCCATAAATAAAAAAGGGAGATTTAATCTGTTAGAAATCTGAGTTGTAAATGTTTTAAGAGAACATATGTTCTCCCACAGAGTCATGTAAGCATGTTAAACCCTGGTGACAGGACGAGCTTCCTCATCCCACATGGCTGCTGTTTGAATGTCACTACCTCCTGTAGGGTTGTTGTGAAAACACCTTGTTGGAGGCACTTTCAGCATTCATTGCCATTTATTTGTGAATCATCTGTGTTTATTCACGCAAAAATGGCTGACCCCCGAGACACAGTGTCCCCTCTCCACAGCAACACACACACACATGTACTCAAACACACAAGGGTGCAGATAAACACAGAGTGCACAAACCAAGGCGTGAAACGGGAGAGTTGGGCCGACTGGCACAAATGATAAGTGTAATGAGATTTCATAGCAGCCATTGGTGGTGATTAATGTTGCATCTGAACCCAGCAGCACCGAGTGTGCTCATGCAGACGGTACACACACAAATCCACAAAAACAGGAGATACAGAGGAAATGAAAGGGAAGGACAGTCACTGACAAGAGTGGATGGAGGTGTCCCTTCAGTCACTTATTGCACACCCCCACACACATAGCTCATAGCCCTGCATGATGACATAAGAGGGAGAAATGCCCGGGAAAAGCTTTTGCTTTCCTTCTTCTGTGGCATCAAGCAAATCCTCTGCATGCGATTTAAGAGGCACTACATTAAAATGGCTACTAAAGTGTATGCTTTGTCAGACTTTTGCAAGACCTTTATTATGCATTTTTATTAATGCATTGAAGGATGAATAGGACTGTATGGTTTTGTAATGTACAGCCATGCAAACAAGCATCATCATAATTAAAAACTGATTTCATTGACCCGTTTGTAAGACATGTTTCCTCCTCACCAGGCAGAAAGGTAAAAAATAAACCTGACACTGATTGCACCGACCTGCCATAGAGGGGATCCATCAGGTAGAAGATGGACTTCACGGTTAATCGAGTCACTGCTTTAATCTGTGTTTCTGTGTGCCCCAGGGTCAGCGATGATCCAGAGAAATCCACAACGTACATGGAGGAGTCTCAGCCCACCCATGGTAAGAGAAACAAAGAGACAACTTCTACTTGAAAAACACGTCATTCACCTCCTTTTGTGCCAAAGTTTTAGATCATTTCATCTTTAGAAATGATGGAAGTGGAGCTCTTTTGGTCAAATCATGATTTTAAATGTTATTGTTGCACAGAAGGTTTGTGATGGGGATGGATTTTAGCTACTACCACCTCAATTTTCAGCGCAGTAAAAGATGGCTGAAGATTTATCAAAACAACCCATCAGTTTAGCTAGAAGTTGCTTTTGTGAGCATTTTCACTTACTTCCTTTATTTGTACCTGAATATCTGTTTCTTATTTCATTTGTTCTCGTCATGCCTGGGTAGAAATCACTATCAGGGTGGATGAGTCAGACTGCCTTTCCATGGCCAGCTCCCACGACCAGGAGACCGAGCGCTTCCTGTCCACCGGTCCCACGGGCCGCCGCGTCTCCTTCAATGAAGCTGCACTGTTTGATCATGGCAAGAAAACCCAGGAGAAAGGCCGCAGGTCAGCCAGCCAGCACATGAGCTGGTGCCCACGGTTCCCTTTTTTTTTTGACTTTGGAGTCTTGCACTAAATAGTTGCTACTCTCTGAGATCAAAGGATGTGTAAACATCTCACCGCGTCTGACGTGCTTCTGTGCTTTCAGAATGCATTATGTATGCTGTGGACACAAAGCCCCTTTGTGATTGTTTTACTGTCCTACTTTCCTCCTTGAAGTTCTGACTTTGATAAGCACATCTGTCAAAAGGAGTTATTCTGTAGAGCTTCATTCGGAAGCTGCGATGGCTTAGAAGTCAGACAACGCCTTCCGGGTGTTGGGATGAGCCTCGATGGTTTAAAAGCTCATCACAAGAGCACACATCTTAAGAAACCTTTGAGATCACACTTTATCTCCGACCCATCCTCCTCAGGTACACGCTGACTGAAGGAGACTTCCACCATCTGAAGAACGCCCGACTCACACACCTCCACACCCCGCCACCGGCCCTTAAGATAGTCACCATCCATGAGTGCGACTCGGCCGAAAACACCATCACCATGGTAACGCGGCCTGTTGCTAAATCAGCACTTTCCATCTTCCAAGTGAGAGACTGTGCTTCTGGATTAGGAGACGTTGTTTCTCCTTAAAAACACATAGAAACATAACCTTTATGTGTGCGTTTTTCATTAGCCAATGCTGTGCCCCCTACCACAAACGGCTTTGACAAGCTTGAGTGTCAACCCCAGCAGCAGCGCCCTCCCTGGGGATGCCCTCAACTCTGTGGTGGACACCAGCTTCTGTGAGAGCCCTTTAGTTCTCAGCACCAAGGAGCCGAGTTCCTGCTCTGTAAGTTACTCATGTCCGTTGTTGAGGTTTGGCTCTGCAACTTGTGGCAGGTTTTCTGCATGACCACGCCTCCATTGCTTTGTTCAGACAGAGTTAATAGGAGCAAAGCCGCAGGACAGAGGCAGCAGTGCGAGTGTCGGAGAAGGGAGGACGTTGGGAAACGGCGGCGCTCCCACGGGAGGTGGCTCAGGGAGCCCAAAGCCTGTTCTGCAGTTCCTAACTAAACTTCGGCGCCATGCAAGTCTGGAGGGGGCTAGTCCCTACTTCAAGATAAAGAAATGGAAGCTGGACAGCAGCCAGAGAGCCTCCAGCCTGGACACAAGAGGTAATGGAGGGAGCAGAGTGTGTCTCTGGAACATCAGTTCTCTAGAAAGACATGAAAACATTTGTGCTGTAAGGAAGTGCTATGAACCTTTAGAGGGAAGCTATGACATGGAAATGGGCAATGAAATCACGCTGTTGGTCTTTTTTCTTGCAGTTTTTGCTGTTTTGTGTTTTGTCCCAAATGCTTTTTCTGGTAAACAGAAAGTGATTTAGCCGGATGCTCCAGCAACCAACTGTGCACTGCCATTTGAACGAGCTGGATACACACACATGCATACAGGACAGATGGCTCAGTGACGCAAAGTTTGGTCGTTCCAAATCAGTTTGAGCTCCAGACTTAATCCTCCCTACCGCTCTGCTCATCTCCCGTACACACACTCTCTCTGCATCTCTGTTTTGTTCTTGTTTTTGTTTTTTTTACATTCCAAGGGTCCAAAAAAGACCCCCCCCCCCCCCCCCCCCCCCCACACACACACCCCAACCCTAGAAATCCCCAACAGTTGGTGGAAGCTTTCTGCTGAACTAGGTGTTGCCGTGCTTCGGCTGTTGCAGAACTTGTACTCACTGGTCTTCCTTCGTTTTTGTGGTGTGAGCCAGGCTCCCCAAAGCGGAGGCAGTTCCAGCGCCAGCGGGCCGCCAGCGAGAGCATGGACCAGGAAGACAATGATACTCACCACATAGACCTCATCCAGTTCATCGCTCGCACCCAGGATGTCGCCTACTACCCCAGCCAGCCCACCACCCATCTCCTCTCACCGCCGTCTACACCACCTCCCTCCCTCGGCAGGTATCTTTAATTCCCTTGCCATTCATCCCGTCCACTGCTTTGCTGACTTGCACTCATGTGGTTTTCCTGTAGCTAGAGAATCCGTGTAAATGATTTACCAAAGCTCTAAGTCTCAGTTCTCCCCTTTCCTACTGACCACATAAAAAAGTGAGATCAGGCAAATTGAGAAGGGGCATGAAGATCTAATGCGAGGAACAATTCAGCCTAGAAATCTAGACAAACCAGATAGAACTTTTGAGAAAAACAAATTATTAAAAAAATAAATAAGTAGGTTGTGTTAGTAGTAGTAATCAAACTGCCTATTTAAATAATGAAAGTAGTCACAGTGCTGGTTGGTGTCATCGTGTTAACCAGAGTGAACAAGGACCACAGAAAGCTAGGGAGAGAGCCTTCTCAAGGAATTTGAAAGACAATCATTGGTCAGCATGTTAAACGTAAAGGCTAGAAGACCATCTCTAAGCAACTTGATGTTCTTTTGACCATACAATGTAAAATATAATAAAATAAACATAGATTTTACTGTAGAACACCAGCAGCTGGGGTTGCCGGAATGGCAATCGTAAAAATTTGTTGTTTTTACGGTTAAAAGTGGTACTGAAGTCAGTATTTTACTGTAGAAGAAAACATTTTTACTTGATAAAACATACATTGTTTTACTGTAAAATTAACATGAAAATAAACTATAAAATAACATTTGTGCCACTAAAAACATTTTTCCCACTAAAAACAAAATTCAAAGGGTTTCCTCATTACATACAATCATTTCAGAAGGAAATAATTAGTTAACTGCCACTAAAGTCATGACTGGCTATGATAGCTTTGCCTGCTTAATCAGACAGTAAGGACATCAGTATTGAACATTAGCACAGCCTTCACGTGCATTCACAAGTCAGGTCAAGAACAGGCACTTCCCTCTGAATAGCGGTTCAGCCAGATCTTGCCTAAATGCCGATAACACACCGGGAAACAGGAAGTAAACTCCTTACACATTACCAGCAATTAACTCATTCACTGCCATCCGTTTCCTGATCACTAACGGCCTTCGCTGCCAGCGTTTCTCACCGTTTTTACTGTTTTTTTAAGAGTCACAGAACGTTGAGCGCTAGCATGATGTCGATGCCAAAACAACCAAAACAAAGAGGAGACTCACCTCTTACATCAGGAAGAAGCCGTGTCTTTCGAGCGTTATCCGTTCTTTCATAATCTGTTGTTGAATTGTGATCGGCAGACGCTTTTCCGGTTCGTGCCTCACTTTTTTTTTACAGGAACGGCCCAAAACGATCTCCTAACACATGGATGTGTTGCTTCCTGATCATGTGATCTGTGACGTATGCGGATGAAGATCGGCTTCAGGGCTGAGATGTTTGTTCTCTCAGCGCGGGGGCTCGTTCCGATGCTCAAACAGTAAAAAAAATGCTAATGACGACTTTAGTCGTCAATGGCAGTGAACGGTTGGATCTAAAATGACGACTTTAGTCGTCAATGGCAGTGAATGAGTTAAAAGCTGTATGATTTTTAATATATACATGTACAAATCATAGTGTTTTACCATTAGAAACTTTAAGGAAAATTTTCATTAAAAAAAGCAAGAGTGCTTTACAGTAGAATTATATATTTTTTACTACGAAAAAAAAGTACAAATTACCATTTTCACCAATTAATTTATATACAGCACTTTCACGTAAAATCAACCGTTTTAGATAGTTTTATAGTTGACGGGTTTTTTCCTGTCATGGTTTTACGTTTTTTCACTGTTAAATGTACGGCTATTTTTTACAGTGTAGGTGAAAATTTGTTTCAGACGAGAATGTAGCCAGCCTCCCAGAATTAGAAGGTGAGTAAGTAGAAAATGATTACCTTCTCAGTGGCCTAGTGGTAGAGCGTCCACCTTGGGAATGGGTGATCGGGGTTCAAACCCGGTCGGGTCATAGACCTTAAAAATTGGACCCAATGCCTCCCAGCTGTAAGGGGTTTAATTTTCCAAAATGCTTATTGACAAGTCCCAAAGCTTCTGGGTGAATGTCCTTTGGACTCTTGATACAAATCTAGAATGTTTTGTGCAAACCCCATCATGTTTATATCCACAGACACGAAGATGAAACACAGAAAGATGAAAGAGTAAGAGAGAGATTTTAATGGCCATTTAAAAGATTGTTCTTGTGTAAAAGTCAAAAGTAATAACTGTCTCACCTCCTCTGAATAACGCAACATTCACGCAGTTTCTTGAAACAACCCAGAACAAAAACGTCTAAAGTATAATTATGAATTGTGCTTGTTATTTTTTTTCTGGGGAGATTGTTTGACTGTTACGTGTAATGAGATAAAAGCATTTACTAACTGTAAAACGACTGCTTTACTGCTTTCCAATCACAAGTGTAAAAGAATTCCTGAAAACAAAAGATCTTTTAAAGCCAATTTCATGTCTGAAGCAAGATGCCGGGGATTCCCATACTGCTCCTTTTTTCCCAGAGTGGAGAGGAGAATTGGGACTCAGAGTTTATAAATAGCACACAGAACCATTCCATTGCTGACATGGCTGAATACTTTCATGCTGTCCTCAAAAACACATTTTTTATCAACTATATTTGTCAATTTT